GGTTCTCATGCAGCCAGCAAAAAGGTGTGAAGAATGTAATGGAGTTATTTAAGCCTTCAGAAAAGATGTGAAAGTTCCTGGTGTCTCCTGCAATTTAGGCTGTGACATAGTATGTACTTGGAGGAACATGTATTTAGAATGATAATATACCCAAGTGTGTCCATTGCCTTCAATCTTTCACATTTAAAGTGTTCAGAAGCAGCATCCTTCTTGGGTTTCCATATTCCCATGTAAGGAGTCTGAACTCCCTTGATGGCTGTCTCCTCTGGAGGGGTTTTCTGCTTTGATGATGGAAGTAAATGACTGTTCTGATCAGCTGGTGCTGTGACCCACTTCCAAATGGATGAACAGATACACATCAGTGAGCCCACCTGCCTTTACAAGGAACAGAAATGTTTGCACACTCTTGTGCTTAAAAAATATTCTTCTAAAATATTGCAAGTCTGTGTTTAATGTGTCTTATGAGTACCTTGTTTTAAAGGCATGAAATCTTACCTTCTTTGGAACCACCTTGTATGGAATTCCCTTGAGATTTTTAATGTATCTTAATAGCTGTGACCAGTCAATCTCAGCCATTATTTCAAGGTGAAGGTGTTCTGTTCAGGTGGAAGGTGGTTCTACATTGAGTCATTATCTTAACCCAGCTAGTAAAGCTATTTCTAGAAGCAAAATTATTTTATTCAGATGGGGGGGAAAAAAGTAATTACAGGTTTCCCTTCTTTGCAGATAGATTTTTAGTTGTAGTTTATTTAGAATAACATTTCAGTTCCAAAAGACAGAACTGCTATTTATTTATCCCATAGATAGCTTCTACTTACCCCTGGAACTGCATATGGAAACATTTATTTTTCCCATGAGCCTGGGAATCTGAAAAGCCTTTGAACATACCGTGCTTGCCCTACTCTGTGGAATGAAATTTAAGGACAGAGGTAATTACTGAAGTAATCAAATATGTCATTAGTTTAGTTCTGACTTCTGTCCACATCTAATCCTTCTGGTTTTCCACATCACCTAGTGTTTAATTTGTTTTGAGAGTTCCTCTGTTTGGTTCTTCATGGGAGTTTTGGGTTTTGCCTACATCCTTCTCCCTCCACTGGCAAATTTGTGAATTCTTCTGTATCCTGGATGTAACTTTCTCAACATTCCTTGCTTGAGAACAGGCAAGTGTTTGAGGCCATCTCTCATACTCTGTCTGAAAGTTGATGGCAATCAACAAATAAAAGAAGCAAGAGCTTCAGTAGGATTTTTTGGTTGAAGGAGTTGGCTTGATTCTGATTTGAGAAGCACTTGAATGTAGAGTTTGTGGTGCATGGGAATAACTGAACACATACCTGTGAACAGACTGAATACAAAAGGCTGCTTGAGTGTCTTACATGTATTAAACCTCTTGTGGATTTCTTCAGGAGAGGTAAGTAGCTTCCTTGAATGATGCAGCTAAGGCTACATGATGTTTGTTGTGGGTCTGTCCTGTGCTCCCTATCACAATAAGGCAGTAATTCTACCTGCCACCTTCTTCCAGCCCTTGTGTTGTATGGATGCCTCGTGGTCCTTACGCATGTCCAGTATGTCAAGATTTGACCAAAGAAATTTGTATGGGAGAGCAGAGCATCTGTGCATTGGCCTGCTGCTCTGTAGCTGATGAATAACACTGATGATGGTTATTTTTGGACAGGAGGGGCACTTTATCTGGTTCTTGATGTGTACAGGATATCTAGGCAGGATTTCTGAGACCACAGTGGTGTCAAATGTGACTAAATTATATGTAGACAGGCACCCGGTCCCACAAGATGAATGTTGGGAGTTCAGGCAGAGGGATGTTCTGCTGTTACCACCCTCTTCCCCAGCCAAAAGGAGGGAGCTAGGAACCTCTTTATCAGCCTGGCTTCTGTTTGCCAGCTATGTATAAAGGGAGTGTGGCAATGGCAGCAAATGATGCATGATGTGGCTCAGGGCTATAGGGAGCCCTGTTTACAAGCAGTGTGAGATGCTGAAGCTGGCAGGAGAATATAACTATTTTGTGAAAAGTCTCTTCACTCTTTACAATTAGCAGTGAGGGCTGATGTACTCACAACTGCTGGCTTAAATCCAGTCTTGGTGGGTTGTGCTTTGAAAGTGATTGTTATGACATATGAAATGGTACCAGTGTAGATCACACACATGGGTGACTTGCTGGTTGTTCAGAACAAAGGGGGAACATTGAGATAAATAATGCTCTTAGTCATGATATTCCTAGAGCTGAAGGTGGTTTGGGTTTTGTTACAAAGCTTGTTCCTGCCACTTCTGTTGTGGTTGGTCTGCATTTATTACCCACTCTTTGGTATTTGGGATGATCACTTGAGTGTATTTTAGAAGTGCAAATTTTTCCCATAGCATTTAATATTTACAAGTTGGACTTGTAATTTCCATTCCATTACTCTTAAGTTAATTTAGACAACTCATAGCATTGCATGATTGGAGAAAATGCTTTAAAATACTTCTTGCGTTAGTTTCCTGTTGTTGAGAATCCTTTCCCTTGGCTTTGCTCTAAACTAGCATCCCTATACATACAGGATGTTCAAAGGCAAGCAGAATGAGACTAGTATTTGGAGTATGAAAGTTGGAGGCTGCAGAAGTATCATTTTCCTCTTGTGTAGAGCTGAATAAAGTTCCAAAGCCGTATGCTGCAAGACAAGATCCATGTCACCCCAAGACTGTCATTTTGCTTTTCCCACTTAGCACTTGAGAAATTGCAGTCTATTTTCTGTTTCATTAACCATCTTAACTTTTCTACCAAGTCTCAAAGAAAACATCTTGGTCAGGAAGATCTGTAGTGCTGGCAAAATGCTGGGGTTTGATATATAGGGTGACCTTTTATGCAGTGAGGAGTTATAATAATATAAGAGCTGGATGTATTGCTTGATAAATCTGAGTTTGGGAGAATTTCTATAGCTTATTTCATAAGAATATATGCAAAATTCTATGGCTTCATTTGGAAGAGTGTTCCCAGTGACGGGGGCAGAGGAGTTACTAGAGGGTACATGGGCTAGCAAGCAGCCTGATAGCAAGATGTTTCATTACCTGGAGATTAGTTGGCAATACTCTATTGATGTAATAGAGTTATTCATTGCAAATGATGTTTAGAAAAAAATTTAAGTCAGAGGGCACAGACCCAGTTTGAACAGTGAGTGAGTACTAAGAAATTTGTAGTTGGATGCGAGCTTAGTCAAGGGTGACTTTGAAGCCTCAAATAGAAACGTTACTACCAGAAGCAGTGTCACTGCCATGAAGATGTGGTCACTGTCCTGGTTGCTATGATTATGATGTTTTGGTTATATTTGAACACAGAGATTTTAAAAACATTTCCAAACATCAAACTTACTAATAACTGTAAGTATCTGTCAGACTTTCCCAGTTGTTTTTACCATAAAATAATAAGAAATAAATTTAGATGCTTGAGATTAAAAATTTAAAATGAATGTTTTATTCTCAAACATTAATCTTTGCTAAGACCTTTGTGAAACAAAATAATTGTCAAATTCTCTCTTAAAAGGTTTAGATAAATGTTCATGCCGATCATTCTGTAACAGTTTAACTGAAGAGGTACTGTGCTTGCTAGGCAAATGATGTGTACCACTTGCTGGAATCCAGTTCCTGAAGGACTGATCTTGTGCTGCTTTCCAAACTGAACATTGGATCTGTAACATCCTTCACTACATCACACACAATTTCAGCACAGATGCAGAATCAGCATCATTAAACATTACGTATGATGGAGAAGCTTAATGAAGGTTGTTCTAAACCTATTTTCTGCTATGGCTGTATCAACAACCTATGCTCTTAGTTACCGTCTCCTTCAGGCCTCATATCAGTGAGGGAGAAAAAAATTTTAAAGAGCTTTCTCAAGGTCTTTCTCCTTATAAAAATATGCTACTATCATGCTTGGCCTGTTCTGTTCTGTCAGTTTTCTGATCAGGGGGATAAAACTGGCATTTGTCACCATTTACCTTGCTGAACCTACTGTGTTTTCCACTGAATTTGCCCTCAGACTTGCATGGTCCACTTTCCAAAAGGCAGTTTTCTGGTCTCTCTGCTGTGTGGTAGGGAGGCTAAAAAATGAAAGACTAATGTAGGGAAATAAATTCATGTCAGGTTTGTATTTACATAGTTGTAATTCCATAAAGTTGCAGATCAGTTTTGATACTGTCAACACAGAAAGAAGAAATCCCTGCATCCCTATAATATCTACCTATGATCACAAGGATGGTGAAGGGTCTGGAGGGGAAGCTGTGGAAGTGGATGAGGTCACTTGGCTTGTTCAGCTTGAAGGAGACTGAGAGATGTCATTGCAGTCTACAAGTTCCTCATGAGGGGAAGCAGGGGGGCAGACACTTGTGTCTTTCTGTGGTGACCAGGGCCAGGACTCGAGGAAAGGGCATGACGTTGTCAGTGGAGGTTTAGGTTGGATATCAAGAATCGCTTGTTCCCCCAGAAGGTGTTTGGGCAGTGGAACAGGCTCCCCAGGGTCACAGCACCAAGCCTGACTGAGTTCAAGACGCATTTGGACAATGCTCCCAGGCTTACGGTGTGACTCTTGGGGTGTCCTGTGCAGGGCGCGGAGCTGGACTCCGTGATCTTGGTCGGTTTCTTCCAACCCAGCATTCTATGAATCTTGATTTACTGCATCCTTAAAGCTTGTTCAGTCACAGATGTCCTCGACCAGACACTGGTTGCTGCCTCTTCATCTGACTCGGTCTCCTTTCCGCCCGATGTAGGCTGGAAAGTATACAACGATCTTACATCAAAGATGATCCTGGTTTAAGATAATCCGGAAACATTCCACATTTTGCAACATCGTGGCGGGTGGAAACAGCACCTAGCGCAGCTGGTGACGCTAGCGCAGGCGGCGCTGCTGCACTCCCGCCGGCAGCGGCACGAGCAGGATCTCGAGAGCCGCCGCCACTCCCCGCTCTCCCGGCCGGGCCCTGCCCGCCTCCTGAGGGCGGCGCTGCCCGCGCGGGGCCCGCCGGGAAGGCGGCGCGCGCCGTCATGGCGCTGGCGGAGGCGGCGCTGCGGAGGCAGCTGGGCAAGGTGCGCGCGCTCGGGGGGAGGGGAGGGGGCGCGGGCGGCGCTGAGGGAGGGGGAGGGAGCCGGCGGGACAGGGAGCGCGGGGCTCCGGTGGGCCGGGAAGGGCGGCCGTGTCCCGGCGGTGGCTGCCCAGGGACTCCCCTCCCTCCCCGTCCTGTCCTGTCCCGCCCCGTCCCTTCGCATCCCGGTGCCTGCGCTGTCCTGCTGCAGCCGAGTTTTAAGTTGCCCCGCGCATCACTTTATCCCCATGGTTCGCGGCGTGCCTCGCGACTGAAACCTTACTCTTCCCTCATCGGAAATTGATAACTCTCCTTTTTTCTGGTGGCATTCCCCGCGTTAGCGCCTCCACGCCTGAGGAGCACAGACGCGTTGTTGTAGCATCCCTCTGAGCGTTTTAATTTCCATGCGAGAAACTGAGCTGGGCGTGTTCAAGCTTTGGGCATGCCAAATACTTTTGGGTGTGAAATGAGGAAGGTCTGTATCTGAATCACCTCGTGAATCCTGTGATCTTTAGAAGAGGACAAGCTATTTTATAGGAATGCCTCGTTTTGTATTACGAATAGAAGGAGGCCAGCTGGGGAAAGATGACTTTGGTTTCACAACCAGATGTGTATCAACGCCTCCAAAAATGTCCTAAGTTGTGTAGACATTCATAATTAGGGAACATTGGATTTTAACTTTATTTTGTTGTATTGCTGCATGACTTTGCAGAATCCAGTGATGGGGACAAGCTGACTAAAAGGTATTTCTTGTCAGCAGCTCTGTGTTTTCCTGTAGACAGTAGAAGATAACTGTGCCATGCTGTGCAATGCTGCCAAAGCTGTCACATTGCTGCCAGGGTGACAGACTGAAGAGAAATTCGATTTTATCGACGGTTTTGTGACAATTATTCCAGGGCACTGAGCAGCTCTTTAAGCCACTGTCAGGCGATGGTTTTGTTTGTTTAGGCAAGGGTTACAGAAAACCAGCACCAAGTTTCCCAAATGAGAAGCAGAGGATCTAATCTAGGAAATGGAAAATACTCTTTGTAACTTTGGGATGTGGGAAGATGCAAATCTCTTGGAAGTTCAGGTATTGGACTGGCTGTGCACAGTCTCCATGAAGCAGCAGTGATTTGTTTTCTCAGCTCTCAAGGACAGCTTAAAAATGAGAAAAAAAAAAAAAAGCTCCCAGAGGCTAATTACATACACGTTTGACACATTTGTGGAAAGCAAAATCTTAGTAAACTCTTTAGAATGTGTGTAGATGGATCTGAGTTTAACTGTGTCAGTAAGAAAATAACCTCCTTTTTCTAAGTGATTTATATTTTTATATTCTTTTTAACGTGTGCAGAGGAGACTAAATTTTACTAAACTTCTGCTCACATAGCTGTAAAGGGAATGAAATGGTACATAAGGAGTGATGTTCAGAATTTCGTAACTCTTACGCAGCAACAGCAGACCTGCTGTAGTTTCAAAGCTTTTTTGTAATCATTTCTTTTTGATAATTTATTTCACATCAAAACTATTTATAATACAAAAAGTAATTATTACCTTCTCCTTTTCATGTTTCTGACTTCTATAGTGTCCTTTTCCCTATGTCTTTTACAGAAGCCTTTGAAGTGAAACTTTTTTCCTTATTTTTTTTCTCCCCCTTCTCAGTATAAGTTCAGAGACCTGACTATAGAAGAGCTGAAGAATGTTAGCAAGGCCTACCCCAACTTCACATTCTCCATGAACACATACAGTAAGAAGTGATGTACTTACTCTGAACTATTTGTGGGGATTCTTACTTGCCATAAATGCAGGCTGTGTATAATAGAATTTGAATAGATTTCTGTTGTGTTCCTGTCTTTACATTGACTTGCAGTAAAATTTCTCATGCCACATTACTCTTCCTGAACGCTCTTCCAAGGATGCATACATACAAAAACCTCAACAACTCATTTACTTCATCTTACTTCAACTTGTCAGTAATTATAGAAGATTGATACTTTAAGTTCTTTTTATGTAACACCATTTTTCCCATCTTTCATTAGTGTATTGAAAGTATTTTGATGGTTTTAGCTTATTAGGGTGTGGCTTCCAGAATCCATCAGCCTGACTGGAAATTCCCGCAACATCAGAATTACCCGGTGCAAGGGGTTTTTCAGAGTAATGATGTGCTTAGTTGTACCAATGCAATTTAGTTAAAATTTCATTAAGAAAGTATTTTAAAATGTAGGGGGGATCTTAGTAATATTGTAGTCTTGTTTCTTCCAGGAAGAGTATATTTGATTTATAAAGAAAAATCACTGTTGTATATTTGTAGTTGTGGATGGGATTGCTTTGAAAGGAGTTGGTTGGTTTATTTTTTAATTGCCCTTTTAATTTCAGCCTTCAAGGATGGATCCCAGAAGGACCTCCTGAATTTTAGTGGCACTGTTCCAGTGAAATATGGTAAGGTAAATCAAACATAATTTTCTTGCCAGCTATGAATCTAAATGTAATATGTGGGTGCTGCCTCTTAACAGTTCATTGTGCAGTGTCTTCAAAGGGCTTTAGAAAGGATTTTGTATGAACTGGAAGAAGTCACTTCTACTGCACAAGCAAGTGTGCAAGTGATGAAATAAGGTGCTATTGATTAAGTCAGTTAACTGTTTAAAAAATGGTGTGGTTTAAGACTGTGTTGGCAAAGTCTTTGGTGCTAATGGAGCTTGTGTGAACTCTCTAAGACCTACACTTGTATAGACAGGGTCCAAAAATAACTTGTAGGCAATTTTTTATTTTCAACTTAAAGCCTTTGAAGTCTGATGCAAAGCTCTTTATAGATGCTTTTTTACACCAGGTGTTAAGTTATAAAATAAGTATGAAATAAATATATGAAACCTTTCTTTTCTGGGAAAAGGGGACACGTTGGCTGAGAGAACCCCTGGGAAGCAAAACAACAGAGCTTTATATTCCGAAAGGCACCATCAGTAGCACTTCAAGTTGATCCAGACAAGTCTGGTTTTATTAATTAGCCTAAGTAATATAAATATTTTCCAGTGTGAATCTGGAAGTGATCTGTCGGGCTTTTTTCCTTTGTTATTACAAAGTGTGAATCACATCACACACGACTGGTCTTTAGTGCCTCTTCTCAGTGAAGAAGTTAGTTATGGCTTTTATTTTGTGTTGGACAGGTAATTCCTATAACATACCTATTCATCTGTGGATCCTGGATTCCCATCCCTTTGCTCCCCCTATTTGCTTCCTGAAGCCGACTGCAAACATGGGCATTGCAGTGGGGAAACACGTTGATGCACGGGGCAGGATTTATTTGCCCTACCTGCAGAACTGGAACCATGTAAGAGGTGGAGTGGCTGACAGGGGAGGGAAGCGTTTGGGGAATACTGCGTGGTGTCACATGGAGCTTTCAGGTAGTCTGAGGCTTGTAAAGGCAGTTGGAAGTGATTTTCATGACAAAAGGGACCGATTCTTTTTCAAAGCAATGTAAGCCTCGTGATACTTTGTTGCTATGAATAGTGAGACCAGTTGAATATCCCTCAGGAAAGTTCAATGAAATTTTCTGCCTTTTGGGTATGTCTCTTTTGGCAAAACTCTGAAACAGCACACAGATTCAAAAGTCAGTGCTGTTGCTAAATGATTTTACGCACTGTATTAAATTACTCACTTAAATATGACTGCTAGGCCAGTAAAAATTGTTTAATGAATGCCACCTTTTTGAAATGAATGTGCTGTATTTTACATTATTGATACAGAAATTGCTAAGGGGACTTCTACTGACTTCACGGCAGGTTTTGCCTGGAGGAGGACTGAATTGCCAGAACTCTGGGCAGTTGAGCTCATCTAAGACTGAACTAACTTCACTTTAGCTAGGATTTGTTCCTTTTATAGTACTGGATATGGCTATATCAAAGGTTTCCACATATCCATGGATACCTTCAAAAACTACTATCAGTGGTAATTTCAATTTTAGAATTCCTTTCATTAAATTCCTTTTAATCAATACTCCTGTATGGAAAGGATCTTCTCATAGTGATTCTTTTCTCTCCCTTAGGTGTTTGTGTAAATATTAAGAATGTCAGCATTTATAATTTGATTAAATTTTATATGTCTCTCGCAGTTCACAGCTGATACCACTATAAGAAATAGCTGTTCACCTGTTTTGTCTGCTGTTTGTCTGCTGTATTTCAGCCTAAATCAACTCTCATTGGATTAATCAAGGAAATGATCGCAAAGTTTGAGGAAGAGCTTCCTTTGTACTCACTGTCATCTTCTGATGCAGACAGGCAATCAGAACTTCTCTCCTATATTGCAAAGATTACTGAAGGTGGGGATATTTTCCTGGACTCATTTTTAATGTTATTATAAAATGTATTCACTTATTGTCACTACTTGATGTCACAAAGAAACCTAAGGGTTTATATTTTACAAATTTTATGACCATAGTCTGTATGCACACTTGTAACAGCAGCAACGGAGTGCTCTTTTTGTGATATTAGTGTTTAGATTCTTGCTATTGTCATGCTCTTCTGTTTCTACTTAGTGAAAAAAACATTCCTGTCTAGAGAGGAATATTTGTTTTACACCTTGCAAGTTGTGATGGATTTTCTGTGGTCAGTCTTGACTGCTGTTTTGGAAAAAGTCTGTGTAACTTGATTTAACTCTGGCACAACCATGATCCTTTATGAAGTAGCAATACTTGCATTGATACACTGTGGACCAGCACCTAAGTTTCTTGTTTTATTTTAATTGCAGGAGAGACTGACATGAAATCAAGGGGTAAAACTGGCAGAAATGAAGGATGCTTTAATAAAATTACTGTTGTTGGAGCTGGAGATCTTGGCATTGCATGTGTACTAGCAGTTGCAGCAAAGGTACATAATTATTAAAAATAGCAAGAGACCTGATTAAGAGAGAGGATTCCAGTCTAGTTTTTAATATCTGACACTAAGGAATACCTTATCAGGTTTAACAACTGTCACTGCTCTTATAAATGAAAATCCTGGACTTGCCAATACGTCAAGCAATATAGCAAATTTATTAATTTGTTCAATAAAAGGTGAGCAAGTGTTTACAGTGCACTGGGTGCATTGAGGGTCTCTACCCTAAGCAACGCACAAATTCAGGTCTCAAGAGAGGTTAGTCTCTTATACCATTCTAGGCACTTTACTTCCTCAAATATTCAGTTATTTTTTACTTGCTTTTTCTTCATAATCAGTTCTTGGACATCTGTTGGGGAGGTGGTCTGAGATGGTCTTCTGATGTCTTCTTGGTCTCTCATCTTTCTCTTAAAATATCTTTTCCCATTAGTTCTAAGCATATATTTTGTTAGTCAGCATATATTTTGCAAGCTTTCTTTCAATCATTTCACAACTTAAAGCTAACCTGTCTGAAAATACCTTCCCTCAGTTATTACAAAACTCAAAGTTAGCAGGTTTTAAAATGCTTTTGTAAAGCTTTTTAGCTCATGTTGGTTTTCCCTTTTTAAGTGATTACAAATTTTTCTTAAAACTAATTTATAGTTGATACAAAGGATAACTTTTTAAAGCTTAAAATTTTGTTGTTAGAACAAGCTGTTATCTAAAAGCTTATTGTTATGTAATTAATTTGTTAAACTTTACTTCCATGCTTTATTTTAACTGATTTTCAAAACTTTTCTTTGTAATAATCCCATGGCCTCTGTCTGCACATTGCATAGTGCATACAGACAGACATAAATACATGAGTGCTATTTGATTGACACAAATCACCACTTAATTTCTCGCACTGCCTAGGTCATTTGTTTCTTCAGTTAACTTATGGACATTCAGGTCCATAAGAGGTGTTCATTTTCTGCCCTGGTTTCTCAGTCAGCTTTTTTGATTCAAAGGGTTAAATATTGAATTCACTTAGTTTGAAAATCCCTAAAGGATTCTTGTCTCAACAGTAGCTTCTCACAATAGGGATCTCCTAGTTCCCTGGAAAAAGGTAGTCTGTAGATGAGCTGTACTTCATCACAACTGGATGTTAGACACAACAGTAACATCGACATTTTTGACTTCCCAGAGATAGTTTTGTGAGTTTTTTCTTTGTTTTGTAATGTGTTTTTTTCCATTTAGACTTCCTAAACTAAGTCCTTTTCCTTGTGATTTGGCTGTAACTTTGACTAGTAATTTTGTATGATTTGTACACAGTACAGCAAACAATGAAATGGGAGGAATTTTGGTTTTTATTCCTCACTCCCACAAGAACAAGTTTTGTTTTAGTTTATTATTAATCTGTATTATTTTTATTCATACAGGACATTGCAGACAAGGTGGTTCTTTTGGATCCTTCTGAAGGTACAGCAAAAGGAGGGACCATGGATTTGGAGATTTTTGCTGTGCCAAATGTGGAGATCAGCAAAGGTATGAGATGTTGTTTCTGGGACAGGAGTGGGTGCTGTACTGACCGTGCTTGTGTTCATTTTATCAAGAGCAGGATGCCTGGGGAGATACAGTGGCACATAGGCTGTCTTTTTTTAAAAGTCTGTAGGTAAGAGGCTAATGCTGAAATTGGACTCATGAAGAAATATAGAGAGGCCAAGCTAGAACTTCTGTGTCATGGACAGAGACAGGGAGGGAAGGGGGGAAAATATTTGCATAGGAATTAGTGAAGTCTGTGAAAGCAATATTCAAAAGGCTTGACTAATAAAGGTGTGTTTGAAAGTGCTGCTTTCCTAGTTTGATGTTCATTAAACATACACATGGCCAATAGTGAGTCCTTAATCACTATCACTGCATACTCAAAAAAATGAGTTCTTAATAACCTTGTCCTCAGTCAGCTGTGAGCATACAATTCAATGGAGTCAATGCCATGTCTCTAATCAGTGATTAGTTACAGCCTTTGATGGTATTTGATGGTTGTAGAGGTTGAGGCAGTGCAACTCAGTTGTTTTTCCACAGGGAAAGTTGGAACTGAATTGAGTAACATTCTTTCTTTCTTGTGTGTCATGTTTCCATGTTCCTTGCACCCTTTTCAAGATAAAATGAGGGGTTTTCTTGTGCTTCTCTTTTAACGTATCATATTTTGGAGACAGGGACTTGCTCTGGTTCCACCAGGCATCTTTGTGGGTTATTCTGCACCTGGCATTGCCTGCTGTACATTCTTTGATCTTATCTTGCAGGTTTTACTGCTAGCACACCTTTTTTCCTGAACCCTGGTTGTGCAACTGTACCACAGATCTGTTTGTACCTCTGTAGTTGCCTGTTGTATGTTTGCATTTAGCTGTGGTATAAGAAGCTTGGTAGTGTTACAGTACTACGAAATGCTTGTATACTGTCATCTGCTATTTTAGTATGCTTATATCTAGGTTTGGGGCAAGCTGATATTAATTATATCCTGCTTAGTATGGTTTTAATTTGTCAGTGCGTTAGACCTCTGCTTTGGCTTCAGCTGGTTCCAAAAGTGGTGCAACAGACAAATCACCCTGTTTCTCTATCCAGGCTGATCACCTGTGTAGCACTCAGGTATTCAGAATTACCTGCTCAATGTAGCTTTGACTTAAAAATTCCTGCAGCAAGCGTGGTTGTGTGTTTCTTTGGGCTAATAATAAAATTTGTCTTTTATTTGAGTTAATAAATAGACTTTTGGAATGGTTTTCATGGCTGTCTACATGCCCTTGATTAATGTATAAGATCAAAAATTATAGAAGAAGCCTCAGATAAAGGAGTAAAAGTCTTTCTTCTTCTTTAAAAATTGGAATAAAAGTTCAGGAGCCTTTTCATGGTTGGTTTTTGGTTTTTTTTTTGTCTCTTGCCAAGAAAACTTGGAAAAGTTTATCTGTCAAAGCTCTCTAGATGTTTTCTGGTCTCTGCTATATAATCGTGGACAAATTGTAGTCTGCCCTTTGTGTTTGGCACCTGTAAAACAGAAAAGTAGTTCTGTGGGAGAGCTGTGTTTTATAGGTGCTGTGGAAGCACCCCAAATTCCACGCTGGGAGATATGGGGGGGATGAAAGGCGAAGAATCCCTAATTAAGCTGGATGCTGTAGTTCAGCCTTTAGAGCAGCTCTTGGTTTTGCATCTAAAACTCAGTAGAATGACATAAATTTCAAAATGTGCTTTCTTTATATTTTCAGATTTTTCTGCTTCAGCTGATTCCAAAGTTGTGGTGCTTACAGTTAATTCTCTGGGTAATGCTCAGACTTACCTTGATGTCATACAAAGCAATGTGGATTTGTTCAGAGGAATTATTCCAGCAGTATCCCACTACAGTCAGAATGCTGTTCTCCTTGTTGCTTCTCATCCAGGTATGCTGGTACTCTGCATAATATTCTGTCCCTCACCTGGCTTTTTCTCTGGCCTATTTTAAAAACATATTACTGCTTGAATATACCTGGTTAGTCAAAAATTCTTGCTACTCTGAAAGATGTTTTCCTTTTCAGCTTTGAGCAGGACACTATCTTTGAGGGTTTTTTCTTTACTGTTACCAAGATTAAAGAAAATAGTGTACTTTGTTTTGTGTAACAGGTATGTATTTCTTTGTTTCTGTGCGTGGTTTCAACCTGGCTGTGTCTACATTGTTAGCATCCATTGGCTGTTGTCTTGTGAGTTTTATGTGCACATTTCTCCTGTGCAGGAAGGATAGATCCATGTGTGTTGTGAGCCATATGATCACACTTACAGGCTACTAATACACAAAATACAGCATTAACAGTAAATATTGCAGCTAGATTTTGGTGGAAGGTTTCAATTTCCAGGTTAGTGGTACTGTGAACTAAGACAAAACAAAATCACTATTTAGGAGAGGGAAAGAAGTGTGAGGCTCTATCCTGTAATGCATTGAAGACAGCTCTTCTTACTCTCTTACCATTATTGTTGCTAATTTTTTCACTTCTTCTCCACCCAACTTTGTGTTTTAGGTTGAAATAAACTACCAGTATATTCTGACATGCTTATGCCTTTTCTAAAGTAAAGAAGTCCAGAATTTTTCATAATGATGATTTATAATTTGCAGTTGAGTTGATTTTTTGTTCCTTCATTGGCAACATGTTTTTTTTTTGACATTTAGTTGAAGTGATGACATTTGTGTCGTGGAAGCTGAGCTCATTTCCCAAAAGCAGAGTAATTGGAGTAGGTACCAACCTCGATTCAGAGAGATTTCAGTATATGCTGACCAACCTTTTGAAAGCAGAGGTGCTGGCAAAAGATGCCTGGGTTATTGGTGAACAAGGGGAAGACAAAGGTAAAGTGATGCTTTATGATGACTATGAGCATGTAATGTCCTAGCAGTGCCTGAGTGACTGAATAGTGAAAGAACAATTGAGAAAAGTAATGAAGGTAATGAGAAAAGTAATAAGAAGAGTGGTAAATTCTTATAATAATGGCTTTAGTAATGTACTTTTGGGGTACTCAAGTCTGTAGACCTGGAGTAGTAGCAAAAGTATTTGCCAATTGTCACAGGAAGAAAAAACCCAAAACAAACCACAACCTCAAATGTTTTTTTGGTTTTTTTTTGGTTTTTTTGTTGTTGTTTCTGTTTAGTGCCATCATGGACCAGCTGTAATATAGTTGCAAATCAAACAGAAGCAATGGCTGCTCGTAACTCAAGGGAAAAGGTGGCTAACAGGTAGCACCATTACAACCTTTTTTTTCCTTCATGTTTAGGCACAAGATATTTACATGTTCTTCAGCTCTTTATGAAGTGGGGGAAGCTTGCTCTAAAATGTTCATACTTTAAGTTTATAGGAAATTGTAGGTCAAGTTGTCATTCACTTTTATGGATGTGTATATGGCCACTGTTTTTCTGAAATTCTTACTAACTTTGTGCCTGTGGTGATGTAAGGAGGCACAACAACATACAGCAGCATATCAGAGCTGTTTGATTGTGTATTTAAAACAAATACTAGACAAGCCTTCTGGCCTACTTTTCTCAGAGCTTGTGTTGGAAGCATTTGCTTCAAAGTAAAGCACAAGTTTGGGATGAATTTAATTTATTTAATTATCAGTTACACCTCTTGACAGAAAAGAGAATTGTTACGAGTGTAGAGAAAAGATATTGTAAAGAAATTATTTTCAGAATTTCAGAAATTCTTTATTCCATTGTGTTGTTTTCCAAAACAGAGAATTGTATTTTTATAGTACACTTTACCTGATATGGTACACTTAAAACTGTATTTTGGGTTTCACATAAAAACCAAAATAAGAATAATTACAATCTAAACATCACGTTTTTCTCCTTTTCCTGGTTTATGTACAGAGCTATGGAAATTCTAAAGGGAAAAGGTCAGAGATCTTGGTCTGTTGGGCTCTCAGTTGCTGATTTGGCTGACAGCATTCTGAAAGATAAAAGAAAGGTTCATTCTGTATCCACTCTGGCAAAGGTAAATGTGTTATTAATACCTTTTGGTTGGCACTGTAATTATATTATTTATACTTGATATGACCATTAATTTTGGCAGCACAGATATCTCAGTGTTCCGAAGTAATGCTATTGCCGTTACTTTCTTCCAACAGCAGCTCTCAATTCTAGTCCAAAAATAGGAAAAAATCGCTTACTGTTTTAATCTGAAACCAATATTAAAAGTGGATTAAAAGTGGATTATTCTCCTAAAAATACAAGCCCAGAGAGAAAGTACATTTAAGGTTGCTGCCCATCACCCCTGCAATAGATGGATTTGGCAAATGAAATGTGACTTGTAGTTCCACCGTGCTCAGTGTTGAATGTAAATTTTTTTAGGGGCCAAAAGAATTGTGTACCTTTTCTGAAAGTATAAAATGCATTTTCTGCCAGTATTTTATTTAAGTTTGAAACAGCTGCTTTTTTTACTCCTTAGTACTTTCCTTAAGATGAGAAGATTATGAAGCAATAGTTAACTTAAAATTGTAGACTGAATTTTGAAGTTACTCCTAAGAGGCTTCACCAAAGCATTAGGTCATTCCATATGATGAGAAAACCCATGTAGAAACATTTATTTGTCACTTCAATTTAGAGCCTTCAGAAGGAAAATTTGCATGTCCCGGTGCAGGGAAGTTGAGCTGGCTGCTTATTTTATTGAGCACATACCTAATTAAATCACTATGTTTCAAGTGAAGTTTTTAATCATTCTTAAACTAAATATAGATACAGAGGAATGACAAGTCTCTTTAAAGTATTTACAGAATGTAAAATTTCACAGTTTTTTAAAAAATAAACACAATCTACAGTGGAAACTTGAATTATAGGGATATAAGTTTGATGAATTCTTTTGCAGAATCTGTGTGGCATCAATATTTGAAAAATTTTCTCCAGTTCTTAGGATGCATTATTTATTTTGTTCAGTCCTAAAAGAACTAATGATACTGAACTATGAAGTGTCCCTGCTTGTTCTAGCTAAGAAATGGTGTTTAGTGGTATACACTTTGTCTGCTTTACAGAAATCTATCTATCTGTCTTGGAAAAAATCCCCAAGTGTGGCATGGTTCACAAATTTTTATCTGCACAGTAATATTATACAGTTTCTATACAGTAACCCACTTCACAGTATCTAAAATAAATGGAATTTGACCTATCCAAACATGCCATATGTTGGACTATCCTTGCTTAATTAAAATAATCAGGTCCTTTTGTGTAGTTGCAGCAGAAATAAGTAACTGTGTGTGTGACTGAGTTCTTTGTGTGTTGTTTCAGGGGTGTTGCAATATTAACAGTGAAGTATTCTTAAGTCTCCCGTGTATTCTTGGAACCAGTGGAGTGATTGAAATGGTCAGACTGGAGGAAGACCCACTGGTGCAAGAGAAACTGCAAAGCAGTGCAGGCTCAATTCATGACCTTCAGCAGCAGCTGAAACTGTAAGGAAGCACAAGGGAAGCCTCTGTTTCTGCTCACTGAAGCTGAAGATCTGCAAGGCAGAAGTTGCTTCATATATATGTAGTTCTGTAGAAAACAGGAAGCTTTGTTACTTTACTTTCCAAAAGTGCTTTCACAGTTTAGGTTTAAATAATTTAATACTGCACTTAACAGTAATCTTTTCTTTGTGAAGTGCACTTCTGTTAGCCAAAATGAGGCAGGTAACATGCAATAATGTTTTACCTAAATTTGAGTGTCACTTGCCTGTGGTTTTTGGCTGCCAGTTATAGCCTGATTCCTGATTCCTGGGTTACTCTTAGCTCTTTGCACCTCTTTAGGAGGCAGTCCTAGAGAGGGGCTTACCTAGCTCTGCAGAAATGCCAGCATACAGAGCCCACTGGAACCCTTCCTTGTGGCTTTTAAATGCTGTATGTGAGGCTTGTGTAGGGAACAGTCACACTCCAGCTCCACAGGCACTGGGGATGCAGTTCCATAGCTCCATCTTTCATGGCTATAGATGCTCTTATGTCAATGGACTTCTGGTATTTTGCTATTTGCTAAGGGGATCACAATTTTTTGCGGTATCCTTCAAACCTGAACTATTGGCCGTGGATTTCTGTTCACAATTAATGATGTCTGAAATACTCCACTTACGACTTGCTTGCTTTTACTTTGTGAGGACATTTAGAGCACTAAAGCATCTGCAGTTCTCACTACACACCTGCAGCACTGGAATAGGGGTTCTTCCTGAATGGGAGGAGCAGGGGCTGGTTTGCAAATAAAAGATAAAATCCAGCAGTTAAACAGCGCAGGAGTATCTTCACATTCAGGCCTCAATCCAAAGCCGGCTGGGAGTTTTACATCAGCCTCAGGAGAAGAACCTGTAACTGTCCTCCCTGGAGGCCAAGGATGTGATGAAAAAGCAGGATGTGGACTTGTAGGTAAAAACCAGATGGTTTTGAGATCAAGGGATTTTTTTGGGTTCTAACCTCTTGATTTACTACTGTTAAAAGACTGTATTGCTCCTGTATACCTCAGCATCACATGGCAGGCACAGGGGACTTGGACTCCACTCCTGCTGTGTGCAGCTTAGGAATGTCATTCCACGTTTACACTTTGAGGGATGGCTGGTTAAATATTGCTGGAAGTTTGTTCTGAGCAAAAGTAGGATCTGTAGCAGATCAACAGATCTGATCCTTTGTGCCTTCCAGTTACATCTCACAAAGAGCCAGACATGCAGGGAGTTCTGAGCGTATACTGATCTCAGAACTGGATTAAAAATAGAAACAAAAAAAACCTTCAGTAATTCAGACCTTTGTTTTTATGGAATACCCAAATTTCTGTAGTGGTAAATGATGGGGCATAATTAGTGATGGCTACAGGTAACCAACTTTGCTGCTATATTTTTTTAAAGCTGCACTTTGGGGTTTGGTTTTTTTCACTTACTTTGGAAAAAAAACCTATGAATTTAAGGTTTTACATTGTTTTTTATGGTGTTATTTCTTATCTGTTGAGCATTTATTTTCATGCAAATAGTCAAGCTGTTGTTTATTTAGTTTGGTGCTTTTGTAATAATTTTAATCTTAAAACGCTGCCAGCTCTTACAGGTGTGTTTTGTGGATTAATTTGGTGTTTCGTTTGTGTCGCATTCCTTGAACATTAGCCAAAGGAGCGCGGTGGGAAACCTCTTTATCACGGGCGGCGACAGAAAGGTCTTCTAGCAATAAAGGGCGCCGCAAAGCCGCGCTCAGTGGCCCGGTGTCCGCCCGGTGCCATCGCTGCCCGCCCGGTGCCCGCTCGGTGCCATCGCTGCCCGCCCGGTGCCCGCTCGGTGCCATCGCTGCCCGCCCGGTGCCCGCCCGGTGCCATCGCTGCCCGCCCGGTGCCCGCCCGATGCCATCGCTGCCCGCCCGGTGCCATCGCTGCCCGCCCGGTGCCGGCGCCGCCCGGTGCCCGCCCCGTGACGCGCGGGAGCGGCGCCGCCGCCGGAAGTGGGCGCGCAGCCGCTTCCTGTGTTTATGTAGGGCCGGGCCGGCGGCACCGGGAGCAGCGGCGGCACCGGGAGCGACACCGGCAGCGAGGGGCGGCCGCCGCCATGGCCGTGTCCGAGAGCCAGCTCAAGAAGATGCTCGCCAAGGTACGGGCGGGCGGCAGCGGGGCCCAGCGCCGGGAGGCTCCGGGGGCTTGCGGCGGGAAGGGAGGAAGGGCGCAGCGAGCCTAAAATGGTCGTGCCGAGCTGCGCGGCCGGGCTGGGACAGTGCCGGGCACCAGCGGGGCCGTGCAGGACACACGGCACTGTGCTCCCCGGTTACAGCCGGGGGAAGGCGA